TTTGAGTTTGCATGCGGTAGCATGGAATGCATCCGGTTCTTCCAGCTATTCTTCTATCGTGTGCCTGGTAGTTAACCATGTTGGTGTGGCTATCTAAGAGGAACGGGCTAACAGTCATCTCCCTATTTAGGTCCCCGCTCGGTAGGCGCGTTACATGTTGATGGCACGCGAGGGTGTTCCAAGTCACATCAATGCATAATCAGAATTCGCGGAAGAATTCAACTCGTCTTAACCAACGTGGTTCATGAGCTGCCACGTAACGAGAACCTCCATCTCGTTTAACCGGTACCCCACGGGGCTGTCAGTGACACGATCGGGGGAGTTGAGTAGACAGAAACGTGCGCTTGGGTACACGGTACGTTGGGCTGGTTGTCTGACGCTACACCTCACCTTCTTAGCACAGGATCACGACCACAGCTTCTGATTCGACAACTGGTCCAGATGGAAAAACTATCCTTTACAACGTACAAATATAGTTTAATCGATTAGCACACCAAATCAGCAGTTAGGGTTGAATTTAGAATTTACACACTGCTAAATAGAGCTGTTGTAGTAAATTGTAATTAGGACACGGATCTAAACACCTAAATTTAATAGGCGAATTACGTAGACGAAGTGCTAGGCAGCTCACGTCCTATTGCAGATCCACATTTTTTTAATTTATTGCATAAGTTAGTGCCCTAAATTAAAGAGTAAAGGAGCTGCCAAGTGTTTTCAAGTCAAAATTTGCCGAAAAAACGCTACTCTGCAGTGTGTTGCTTTAACCCAAGAAAAATGAACCCGATGCCCATATCAGGTATGCACAATCCACAAATAAGGATAACAAAATTTATTCCAAAATACGAACCAAAACAGAGACCAGAGCAACCACAGTAATTTAAAGAAATGGCGCTTGAACCTCCACCGCAGACCCCTACACATCGGAAGCCGCATTTCCATGTTCACTGGCACTGCCGGGTGTAACGCTTCCATGAATGACACTCTCCGCCTGCCCAATGAGACCAGTTGTGGCACCCAACAGATTAATCGGGGTTCTGCCGTCCGTGATCAATGTGCTCCTCAGGTTGAGGGCCCTCAACATGCGCAC